GTGCTGAGGGTGTGCAGGGGCTCTCGGCCTTCTGAGCCACAGGTCTCACTCCAAACTGCGGCTCCTTCTCTTCCTCATCGCTGAACAGCAAAGGCAGTGCCTTGTGGGCAGTCTCTTTTTTCTACCAAGAGAAAGGCCAGTGTCTTTCCTATAACAAACTTTTATTTTCTCTCTAGTAGCTCACGTAAAGTTTTCATCTTATGTGTAGCTGGGAACTCACAGGAGCTTGTAACAGTGGCACCTTTATGTGCTGTGGCCAGGAGGAAATGAGGTCACTGAGGAGTGCCTCTCTGCTTCCTAGCCACCATGAGGTGAACACTTCCTTTACCTCACTCCTTTACAACACCCAGTGCCATGACAGGCCCAAAGCATCTGGGCCAACCAGCCACAAACCAAAACCTCTGAAATCCAGAGCTGGAACAAACCTTTTCTCCTTATTCCTGATTATCTCAGGTTCCTGTATGTGTCACAATGAGGGAAAGCTGACCAACACGTGCCCTAACCAGCCACACAAAGGTTAGCAGCACTGCAGGCCCTGGGGCTCAGTCTCCCTTACACAGAGCTTCTTGTTCTAGTACCTGCTTCAGTGGGCTGCCTGACATGGGGAGCCCTTTTCTGCTAGCTCTGCATAATGTGCACATCGACAGTACCCTTAACCAGAGCTTTCCGCATCATGCAAACATGTTCTTCCTGAGGCTCAGTCACCCTGGTGGGCAGCACCGCTACTTTGCAGTGGAACTACAACATTTTCCCGGTCTGAGGAAGGAAAAGTACCATGGCTACAGGAGGAGTAGAGGTGGTAGGAGAGCCAAAAAGAGAGCTTCCATTGTCTACATCATCTTCAAATAGGAGGGACACTCTCTGGGTCTTCTTCTGGCTACATGAGAAAACAAAAGGTCACATTCAGGGCAGATGTGACTTAAGAAGAAAAACGATATCCTTTCTAAGCCACACCTGTAGTAACCACCTGACCCATCTGTTGACTGTACATAGCTGAGAACAGACAGGAAACACTTCTAACTGGGACCATTCCTCTCTGGCCTGTGTCCTCTTAACCTGGCCCCTGGCCGGTAACTCTCCTCTAGTGTAGGGGCACTAGGCAGGAACCCTGTGGTATCACAGCACAGGGAGGACAGAGTAGACTGCCTGTGTCGGGCGTGGCCGGGAAGGCTGTGGCCAGCTTGGGGGTGTGAGGTTGTGGTCTGAATACTACCTGTTTCACAGTAACTTTACTAAGAGAATTTTCACACCATAAAATCAACCTTGTATGTCAGTGATTTTCTATATACTCAGACTTGTGTGTTATCAAAATGACCTAAGCTCAAGCATTTCTATCACCCTGAACTCAGGCCACTGGCGTCACTCCCCACCCCTTCTCCCCTCAACCCTGGTGGCCAGAGTCTACTTCCTGTCTCCATGGAATTATGTATTCTGGATACATCATATCAAGGGAATTATACAATTTATGGTTTTCTGTGGCTGGCTTCTTCTCATGAATACAGTACTTTCTAGGATGATTTACCTCCCAGCAAATATCAGTACTTCACTCTTTTCACTGGGGGTCATAGTCTACTGCATGGTTATGCAACATGTGTTTATCCATTCACTGCTGATGGACATGTGGACTTGTCTACACAATGGACTTATTTCTATTTTTTGCCTACTGTAATGCTACAATAAACATTCGTGTGCAAGTTTTTGTATGAACACTTATTTTCATTTCTCTTAAAGATAAGCAGGTTTACTGGGTCACAGGCTAACTCTACACTTAACATTTTGAGGAGATGCCAAGCCATTTTCCAAACTGGTGCTAACATTTCACCTTCCCATCAGCAGTGTATGGGGTTCCAATTCCTCCATGTTCTTGTCAGAGGGGAGTCACCCAGACGGCAAGGGTTCCTGCCACCTGTGGGTCTCACAGCTCTGTGGACATCTGTCCTCTACCAGGACACTTTTCAATCCTGAGCCCATTTTTATGGAAGTGACAAATTTTTAAGTAACCCTGACCAAACTTTACAATGTTTAGGGTACATCAGAGAACACAAAGTACACAAGACAACAACTGTACTTAAACCACTGACAAACTAAGACAAAGAGTATTTCCAGGTTAATAAAAACAATGATGGAGAGAAGACATCAAGGATACAAGAAAACAAGCACTTCCAGCACTGGGAGAAGACTTGGACGTCTGTCGTGACGACCACACACTGCCTGATCTGCACTCCAAACCTTCCCTCGCTACTGCAGACACAGAACCAGTCCTTTCCAGACTATCTCACCTGTCCTTGGCAATGGCAAACAGGTCATCTTCATCGTCCTCCTCAAAGAGGCTGGTCTTCTTCATAGCCATGGCCCACTGGCCCTGGCTGGTTCTAGTGTCACTGAGTTCTCCTGTGGATTTGCTATCAGATGCTGGCTTGGTCTGTGTGTCAGTGATGCTCCACTGGTCCTGAAAACACAACCCACATGTTATACATCAGGAGGTGAGGGGAGCCGCTCAGTGGCAGAGCACCTGCCTGCACAGGCCTGGCTCTGCTGCTGTTCCCTAGCACCGCAAGAACAGAACAAAAACCAACAGCGATTCAGATCACGGAACACCAGAGTATTTTACATTTATTGAATTAAGTGATTTTTAAATTAAATATCAAACTCAGTGTATCACTCTTGGAGAAAGGTCATGCCCAAGGCTTTGAACTCAGATCCACTCAGCTGGGTTCTAGGATCTCACAGTCCTTCTCGGGCCTTTTTCTTCCACCACCTGCCACAATCCTTCTCCCTGCTATGGCTCTGTCCTGGGCTGGGACCAGAGAACTTGTCCATTTTAGGGGTTCAAAACCAATTACAAAGGGGATAAGAAGAAAGAGGAATGGAAGTCACAAAGCCAACTCTGGAGAAGAATGCTGTTTGATGTAAAATATCAGGAAGCAGACAGTGAAATGGGTAACAAGCTCTTGCCACACACCTGCCAACTGTCATGATGGAAGCTGCTGGTGACCCTGTACTACAGTGTTGGGATAGGGACCTCGGTAAGCATTTAAGGAAATCCCACCAGTCCATGCTGACCCCTGCACACCAAGGCTCTCCCAAGTCCTAGAGTGCGTGGCTTTGCAGGGGTCCCCAAGCCAGCACAGGTTCGGCAGAACCTCAGGGCCGACCTTAGGCTGAGTCAGAACCTGCATCTCACAGGGTCTTGGTGGGGCTTCTTCACACACTGAGCTTTGAGAACTCCTCAGAGCAGCCACACTCAACCAGGGCTGCAGGCTAGAAGCCACTGAAGACCTTTAACAAGTTCATGTAAGGAGGCTGTACCCCAAAGCCATTCTAATTCTGAGACCCACCTTCAGCACCCTTTAAAGCTTGCCAGGAACCCAAGGGCAGCTGAGGTTGACAGTATTTGTTCTAGAGCCTTGATCATCTTTACTCCAGGTTACTTTTTGCTCCCAGCTATAGCTAATATTTTTATTTTCTCTGCACCACTATTATGCTCTGGTAGGATTGAGTCCACTGATGTCTGCCTATCATTATGAGGCAAATCACCACTAACAATGGTAAAAAAATAAAAAATGAATCAAAATTTTATTTGAGAAGAGAACACAATTTATGCTGTGTCATTTTAAGTTGCTTTCAATAAATATATTAACAAAGCTATGAGTTGTTATCCACCTTATACCATCATAACTGCAAAGATAAAGAACTCAGCTTTTTATTTTATTTATTTAAAAATTGGTTTTCCAGGCCTGGGGATGGAACCCAAGCCTTGTACATTTTAAGCAAACACTCTACACTGAGCTATACCTCCAACCCTCAGGAAGATCTTTAATGCTCAGGATTTTAAATTTAATGAAAGGCTTTTCTGCACAGTTCAATCTGAATAGCAGCTAAATCATACTCACTACTGATTGTGCTGAATTGGAAACAGAAAGACTTATATGAGCTGGCCATGCACCAGCCACTCCTACCATGTCTATCTGTCCTTTTAGTTAGTGACACGTAGTTGTCACTAAGCAAGATAGTGGGCAGCTGATGGGGCACAGGACATGTTACCCCGTGGTATGGCACCCTGGCATGGAGTAAACAGAGGCAGCAAGGTCTGACTTTCCCCTCATGCTTCTCCCTTGAAGCAGGTCAGAAAGTGTCCTCCAACTTCCTCTTTACAGGAGGCCACTAGAGGCGCCTCCCTGAATCCAGAGCTAAGGAATCCCCTTATCACTAACATGGAAAGGAATCTGAATACAGAGGCCTGGCTGAATTCCCCCAGTGATGCCCATTAGATCACCCCTCTCTGTCCAATCTCCTTCTCAGCAACTGCCCACACTCATTGGACATAGCGTGAAATACACAAGCTTCCCTGCGTCTCTGGGTCTTCATTTCTAATGGCTCCTGTGTCACCTAAAACTCATCTAAAATAAACATTATGTTT